GCCCTTCCTACCCTCTTCCGTGGGCCTCTCGTCTGCACTTGGCTCCGGCGACTCCGTTCTGGTAATCCTCTGGTGGTTTTCTGGGTTATTTATGCAGGTGTAGGTGGAATCTAAGTGATCAGCAGGACGCGCGGTGAGCCCAGCGTCCTCCTACGCCGCCATCTTCCCTCTCCTCACCTTCCCCAATTTTGGAGGCAGGGAGGGGGCTTTGAGCATGTGACAGCTTTATACATTAGTGCTTTGTGAAACGAACATGTGGAAATGTGGGTCTGCTCTAAAACTTTCATTTCCTAGGAAAGAACATTCTAAGTCATGCTAGGCCTATCTGCAATAAAAGGTCATCCTGACTCAAACTCACTTCTGAGACGAATCACTTTAGCAGCTGGAATGCCATGCAATAATTGCTACAGTTAGTGGTGGTAACAGTACATTTCAAAGTCTCTGGGCTTTCCGGAAAAAATGATGAAGGTAACAGTATTTATGGCTAGTGACACCAACAAGTGAAGATCCAGGACTTTTAATGGAGTCCAAAAGAGTCAATGCTGAAGTCAGAAAGGAAATGTAGCTAGAAAATCCACCACCTGCCTCAGTGGTACTGAGGCCACCAAGAAGAGAGCAATTCAGCACCTGCTTATCATATTTTTATTTATGTACCCATGGTCATCAGGTAATTCCGTTATCTCTAATCTTGACCTATCTTCCTGGAATGATTACTTCTAGATTAGCTAAACTAAGGTTAAGAAAAAGACATGCCTTCAGCTGTTGCACAGTTGGCAGTGTGATAGATTAGGATACTTCAGAAAGCAACAACACATATATCTCAATACAGTCAAACCCCCTTTGTTAGATAAAATTACAACCCTAATATGTGTCCATGGTTCAAAACTCCTTGTAAAACTGAATAAATATGTTCACCTTTACTTCCGCTTTGGAAAGTATTAACTCAAGTATTTCCCTTTTAGAAACTGTGATTCAAATGTTCTGCAAATAATAGTTATATCCTGATAAACACTCTTGAAGTACTCTGTATCTTCACTTTGGTAACACTATCTCACGAGCAGTTATTTGCTAAATGCCCAGTTAATGGACGTCTTTCTAGCTTCTGGTATAATAACTGGCAAATAATAGCAAACATTAACTCAGAAGGTTAAATGAAATGGACAAAAAAATCATATGGGCTAGGCTAACATGTCAGGAATAACTAAAAGAACACCTTTTTAAAACCTATGTTGGTAGCATGACTTTTACGTCCTTTTTGGCAAAAAGCTCTAACAGGTCTGTTTCCCGAAAGTACAGACCGGGCTGTTGATGGCACTGGTAGGTACTGACAACAGCAGCAGTGTTAGTAAACAGCGTAAGGCATTGTTTTTCCGAGTAAGTGCTGTTCCTGTCCTGCATAAAGGCGTCAAAATTTATAATTTAAGCCTAGAAAACTAAGTGAAAGACTTCTATAAAGTATCTATTTCAATGCCTCATGGGGTAAGTGTTCAATAATTCCTCTTGACTATTTAGCAGCTCTGACAAACAAAACTACAATAAACTAACCCGAAGGACTCTGAAACTTTTATATTTTGATGGTGGAATTAAACTATCTTTTAAAAATCAGACTTGGGGCACACAGGTGGCTCAGTCAGTTAGGCATCCAACTTCAACTCAGGTCATGAACTCACAGTCCGTGGGTTCAAGCCCTGCGGTGGGCTGACAGTACAGAGCCTGCTTCGGATTCTGTGTCTCCCTCTCTCTCTGCCCCTCCCCTGCTCATGCTCTGTCTCTGTCCCTCTCTCTCAAAAATAAATAAACATTAAAATTTTTTTTTGAAATCAAGTTCCAATTCGCCGTCAATGACATGTTGAATGTCTAGATAGTACTAAAAATAAAACTTAAAGTACTCCTAACAATTTCATTATTGTGTCTAAAATATGTGCTTTTGGGGGATTATAAAACAGGTCCATAAAGTACCTTCACATTAGCCTGCTACATATTTGAAAGTTTCATAACATCTAAAATTTTATATCCTATAATCTAAATAAATTGCCAAGTGACACATTTTCTTCCTATGTCTGGAATTGAATGGTCAGAATTGATAAGCCAAAAATTAGCAGTCAGAATATAAGATAATAATAAATTGAAAAGCACTTACATAACAGACCACTGACCCCTTTATCTTGGTACTAAAAAAGGACATCCTTAAAAAGCTGGTTGGTGGCTGAGATAAGGAAAAGGCTGCGCTGCTTCATTTCATTCCAGAAGCCATGTACCCAGAAGTCTGAGTCCAGATAAGGACTCCAGCAGTCAGTGCATATATGCAACTTCCCACAGCTTGCCCTTTGATTTACCTACCATTGGTCAGCAATCTGACATTCCTACGGTGGTAACTGCATTGTCCTAATATTTAGCATTTTACAAGTAGGAACTCATTTTATCCTCACAGCAACCTTATGGGGTAGGTGTTATTTCTATTTCCACTTTCAGTGAGAAAACTTTCTCTGGGTTGAAAAAGTCTAAGCAACTTGCCCACAGTTCCACAGATAATAAATGGAGAAGCCAGAATTCAAATCCAGGTGGTCCAGGATCCCAACAAAGGCACTACACTTCATCATGCCAATGTAAATCCTCTCCTCCTTAGTTCAGACAAAGCACTACTGGACCATAAAACTAAACCTGTCAGTATCCCCAGTGCCATGTGTATTTCTCGTGGAAAAAAAAAAGAAAGTCAGTCTCTAACTGGCTTTAAGTCTTATGGTCAGTATTCCTCTTTCCATTTTTTAATGGCACAAAGTCATTTATTTCAGCAGAGAAATAACTTCAAAGTACTAAGTGTTCACTTATGTACATGTCTCACTTCTTCTTTGCTTTTGAAAGAACTCCATTCCAAAATGCAACTATTTCTTTAAATGGAAGGATCAAAAACAAAACACATTAATATGGTGGACTATACATATATTGTATTATCTTTACATTTTTTTAAATGATAAAACAAATCAGAACCATTTCCTTATTTTTCCATGGTCTTTTCCCTCCTTCTTTTGCATTTTGGAATGTCAACATGTATATTATAAAATTGCTTCCAAAGTGACATATTCAGGAAAAGTATTTTGTGCCAGAATTACCTCTATTGAAAATTTATGAAATTAAAAAACGAATAACTAGGAAGGAAATACAATGTGGTGAATTCCCAATTATTTTTATATTGGTGTATTCTATATATATTTCCTATTACCAGTCACCAGTTAATTAAGAACCACAATCCAAAAGGCACAAATGAGAGCTTTATAAGAAGAGAAAATATTCTATCATATTCTGTAGGCTGGGAGGCACTTCCAAGTCCTTCTGGACACAGCATCAAATCCAAAGCTATGGATATGATATGAATGCTCCCACAAAGCTCCAAGATAACTTTTTA